TTCCAATCAGCTGCTAACGTGGAAACGGGAAGAACTTTTAAACAACATTATTGGTTTACTTATATTTCAATAGAAGAGAAAGATAAATGAAAATTGTTCTGTTCCTTAATCAGCAAATATAGTTACGATACTTAAATAGTGATTATCCAAATAAATTATTTCCTGCAAAAATAAGGATAATAATGATCGGTGCTAAAATTTTCGCTAAGACCTATAATTTTTCAGACATCTTGTATTTATCTAAATTACTATATTGCAAAACTTTTCTCAATTATCAGAAAATAAGATAGAAGACGGTACTACAAGGAATTTTTGACGCCGATTTAATTGAGCGGCTAAATAACGTCAGTTCGCAAAGAAGTGGAAGCGTGGAAAAGTGTCTCTGCGAGAATGTCGCGCGATGGCTTCATCATTAAAAAAAACCTACGCGCTGGTGTCTACGGTCTCTCGGAGAAGTGGAAAACTCGTTAAAAAGTTGAAATAAAAGAAATCGGAGCTCCCTTGCTTCAGCCAGCGCGTACTCCGGCTAAGACAGAATTATTTGAATAATCGGATCCTACCTTTGTATCTCGCGTCCGATTCCGGAAACGAGACGAAAGAGTCTAGTGCTTCCGCGAGCGATTCAACCGCATTCAAACGACCGAAAGAATTTCCAACTCTCGTGAACTGAAATACCTCTTTTAGTATATTCCCTATACTCGTCACCGTGTACACGTATACATACGAGTACGTACATAAATGTATGTATAAAACATATGAGAAATCACGCTTTTCCCTTTAATTGCAAACCTTACGATGAATCCAAGACAAATTCAAGATGGGAACTTACTTCAAAGCTATCACCAGTGATTGCTATTTGTAGCTTTTAATAACATACATTTTGTACCAATTATTAAGCATCAAGTAAAACGTATAATATATTTTAGTCGATTAAAAAAGCTTCGTCATTTAGTTTTCATTCAAATTGTTCACTAACGATTTTTTTTGTAATCGAATTATAAATTGTAAATTTCCGTAAATAATTTTTTCACTGCTACATACTGTCTACAAATTCATAGTCAAGTATAAATGCAACGATATATTTCTTCAATAAAAACAGAAATTTATATACACCCTGGCAGCTTTGTGTATACTTTAAATTCGTCCAGGTAAATCTTTTCTTTTTCTAGCTTTATGGGACGGCAATATACGCTTCTGATGCACAACTCTCCGGGGAAATCAGAAAGGTTATCAAACTTGAAAGGATAAGAAAATCGGTTAAGAATTCACATTGGTCGCATAGTGACCGTACACTCCGAGTAATAAAATTTCTATCGGAAAAAATAAATGCATATAAATAGAGCATATCCAACGGAAAATACCATAAAAAAGCTTCCCAGATACAATCTGAGAAGTTTAAAGCAAAACGTCTGAGTTATATTGCTAAATTATATCTGCAATTATATATATATATATATATATATATAGCATACGTCCACGACTCACGACTATTTTAATAGCGCATTAAAGTTTTCGATTTATTAAAGTTTTAATAGTAAATCTTTAATTAAAATCGAAAATTATAATGTTTAACTAAATAAAACTTTATCCAATAAAATGTTAATACGATAGTTTCCAAGTTATAGACGATCAAAGTTGGCCAATATCGCGTAGTGTTCGTGAGCACGTAATTATGTTTAGTCGTGTACCGATTTATCATCTGCTAGTGATTTTTATATCTCGGGCGGTATTGATTTTTATGACTCAACCAATTTTCTCTTTCGAGTTCTTACGTAACATAAATATAACAGTACCTACAGTAATCAACTGATTATTGTATAATGACAAATTAATTAATAATATAATATTTTACTATTGACGCAAAAAATATTTTACATCATATAATGTTTTTTATTTTAATAATTATAAATCGTTGATAGTGAAATAGGTAGACAGATTACAAAAAATTAGACTAAAATTAAAGAATTAAGAATAAATATGATTAATAACCTTTAGCTCACTTTTGTCATAAATAGATTGGTTGGGATATACAATATAATTGTTAAATATTTTTTATTTTACTTTTTTTTCTCTTTACTTTTCAGTTTTCATCTGAGAAAAAAATTATCTAGATTATATCTTCATAGTATCCTCGATCATGCTTCCTGACAATTTGGACTGTGTATAGAGTGCTTGACACAAGGTGTAAGTAATGATAATATTTTTTACCAAAAATAAAAGTAATTTTTATTTTGCGAAAGTTAACATCATTGTTTATCACTTTTTAACAAGTTTATTTTGTCTATAAAATATCCTTCATCATTTCTCTTTATAATTGCGAATTTATCCTACGAAATTTGAGACTGATTTATTTCGTAATTACTTGGTGTATAAGACACCAAATGCTGATAAATGATGCATAATATATGTAACAAGCTAAACTTCATGAGCTCTATAAGAGTGTATCCTTTGTGCATATTTTATGTGCAATAAATCAATACGAGTAATCGTATACACACACATTTAGGATTAAATATTTATTATATTAATTAGCGTAATCACGTGCATTTCAAACTAGTTATTAACAAACAATTGATTTATAGTATGTCTTTTTGTTATTTAACTCATGCAATCCGACGATTCACATGTTACGCTTTCAATTAAAAAGACGATAGACAAATTAAAGCGCGTATAACAAATAACGGGACGATGTGCAATTACAAGTCTATACGTAATTCATCGCAATTGCATTAATCAATTTTGATCATTTAAAAGGCAAAAAGTATATAACGTTTATTTCCTATTAAAATGTTTGACTCAAAAATGAATTTTTTAAAATACGTTATTAAAGATAAACGATGACGTACAATACCTGGTATATAATCACCTACTAACACACAGGCGAACATTTGCCTTTATAACTAGCATTATTAAATGCAAATATGTAACTGCTGCAAAATGTTTTAATTAAAGTCAAGTAAAACTTACGGCTGTATGTCTGTGTGTTTAAAACTCAGTTTGTTAGAATTATTGTAAGTCATCGGTACTCGCTACGGCAAGACGAGCTTAATACGAAAGTATATTCTCCTGATATTCCACTCAAGTTTCAGGGAACGCTTAACGCAGTTTATGAAGTTCCTCCGGCGTCGAGGATGCCGAGCAGCGATTAGTCGCAAAACTTTCTTTTCTCTAGATTGAAAAAGCACGGTCCCCAAAGTTTGAAATCAATTGAAATTCTCCGTTATTCGGGCAAAATTACATTGGCCGATTGGCCCTCTCGGGAAGGCCCCTTATCGAGTCAAAAAACCACGGGGGAATTAACTTTCACAAGTGAACATGGAAGGAAGCTCCGTTTCCTCCCATTTGCGGTTTCGATCGCGTGTCAAATTTTGGTTTTCCAATGTGGCTCTAGCGTAGAGAGTAAACTCGGCACACCGACGCTATTGATTTTGTGAGGGGCACGGAGGAGGTCAGAAAGAGCGAGATGAGGACGGAGGGAGAGAAGGGGAACAGAAAGAGAGAGAGAATATATGTGTGTGTGCGTGTGTGTGTGTGTGTGTGTGTGTGTGCGTATCAGAGAAAATCGAGAATAGGTGAGGTCAACTCACCACTCATTCAGGTAGGTTTTTGCCTGATGGATGGCGTCTAGGGTATATGGTCTTTTCCGGATTTATATTCAGGGTTATCCTTGAACACACTGGCCTGAGCCACTCTTGTAAACGAGTAAAAATCGATATGTACTTTAGGCTAAAAAGATCAATATATCGCTCGAAGCTCGCATTATTCAACGGAGATAAGTAATTTCTAATGTTAGGTAAAGGTCGCTGTTGGTTCGATATCTCGGATTTTTTTTACATGTCTCCGAGCACCGTTTGTATTGATTCTTGTATTGTCACGTTAAAATAGACTTGTTCTAAATCGCTTATTATACTAATAAGAATATGTATGTACGTATGCATTAGGTTCATCTCTTTAAAAAAAACACACCTATTAAACGTTTTATAACTTCGATTAAGTACATAGTTAGAATATTAACTAGTTAATATCTCATAACATTAAGCTATTAAGAAAATTTATTAAATTACAAGCTGTTAAGAAAATTTATTAATTTATTAAATTGTGACAAAATTTATTTAATTATACGGATTAAATTACTAAACTAGTTATTATAAAAGATCTTTTAATGAAAAATTTTGCAATCAACTTATAAATCAACAAGAAGCCTCAGTAAAAATTTAAGACGCGTCTTAATATGAAAAGTCTCCACCCGACAACTCATTTATCGTTGGATAAACAGATTAAATTGGGGTATTATAAAACTTTAATAAATCTCAATTTAGTCATAAATCACTTCAAACGGTTTTTTTTTTTCATCTTCACAAGTTTCACGCTCCGACGAACTCTCCATGAGCTTTATTAAATATGAAAACTATTGCACTTCAAATTGAGGTGATAAAATACACATTAATCCGACTAAAAATATGAAGTTTTAGTGTAAAATTTAATTCTCTCTTTGTGTCAAATTTTTTCACTTTACAGATTGCAGTTTGATATTTAAGAAGCATTTCACGCGAGATTTTAATATTAGATATTAAACGGTCCGACACATCTCTATGTAACGATTTCTTACGGCGGTGCATGAATAAAGATATCCGAGGTTGACGCATATAGGAGCACTATAAAAATAGCTTGTTGAATACCGTACTGCTTTTATGCATGCTTCTATGTATCTCAAAGTTTAACATCAAAATGTTTATCGTACAAGTCATATAACGTTCTGTATACCTTTTTCAGCATAAGTCGTATCACCTAATATTATTTTTATTGCTACATTGTATAGTAATCGTAATATATTGTAGTATACAATAACACTATTATTAAACAAAACAAAAATTTTGCATCTTAAAATTTAACTTTATGTCCGTACAAATAAAAAAGATCTTTTATTTAATATTAAAAATAAAATATTTTATTACTACAATATTTCATTATCACTTTTATCATAAAATAGGTTTTTTGCTCCACTGTTGTATGTAAATATCGTTTAACGTGAAAGATATGGCGGAATGTAAATTTCATTTTAATGAAGACGTTAATAAAATAAAACGGTCTTGATGCAGGACATATTGATGGCAAAGATAGCAAATGGACATACAGAGTATACAGACATTGAGAACCGTGATTTGTGACAGAGGGGATATCGAATGCTGTAATCGCATGCTATGACAAATCTCATGAATGATTTGCGGCAATCTGCCGACAGAATCTGCCCGCGTTGGAATCTGTCCAAAATTGATGGTGCGTTCTCGCCGAAAATGTAATGCGTGCGTTCGCGCAACGGACGACGAGTGCTAGGCGTATCCCGTATATCAACCAGCGAGACATGATTTAATGTTTATGAAGATAATGTGTGTGCACGACGACGAAAGAGGGAATAATTGGCCAGGTAAACTGGTTAGAAATCCCACTAAATCCTTTAGCGCTATTAATGAATATATTTCTGACATGAACTCCAAACAGATGAAAATAACCGTGGAAACATCATGCGTGGAAATAGGAACGTTATTTCGCAATTGCTCAACGATGCAGTTGTTAAACTGCATCGTAGAATAGAATTTTTTAACGGAACGATCCAAATCGCACAGTTGTATATTTTATAATTGCAAAAATAAACCCTTTGCCATTGCAATTATATCTTATTATAATGATAGGTTACGTTATCTTAGAAAACATTATGACAGATGAATTAACCTACGTTTTGACGAACAGATTAAATTCGCGGCACAATAAAAAATTTAGAGGATATCATTAAATCTTTAGTCGGACGATCGGGAGGCGCATGGAGAACAAAAACAACTCTGATAAGGATCTGCCGAAGCGTACTACCGATCAAAAAAATGCAACAGAAGCGGAACGTCGCTTTCTCGCTGAATCGAAGATTCTTATAATCGAAGCCACGTCGAAAGAAGAAGGAGAAGACAAAGAAGAAGAAGAAGAAGAGAGATCATCGATAAAAGGAACGAATTTTTTTCGAAAAGAAGCAATGAAGGAGAATAATGGAATGTTAAAAGGGACGACCGCGTCAGAATCCTTTTCCAGAAGAATCGACAACACCGAGAGATCAGTTCAAGAACGCAAGAGAGATACTGTTACGAAAATAACCATTGCCGAGCAGTTTAATGAGACGCGGTCGCTCCCAGGAGAATTCTCGTCCGACGGATCAAAACGCGAGATTAATAATCCAAGAAAAATGGGAGATATGGCGACGGCCGACAGACACCGATGTCAACGTCCTCTCCGCGACATAATTGGCAAACGAGAGCAGCGTAGAGAAGAGCTGGAAAAGGTGGAGGGTGATTTACGACAACGTCTCGATATGCTCGAGTGTTCGATGCCGGCGGTGATGGTATGGAATACCTGGCGAATGTCGCAAGGCGCACCCGCCTGCAGGATCAAACATATTCTGGAGAAACAATTTAAAGACACGGGAGAACTCTCTTGTCGCAGCACACCGAGCTGCCATTACGATTGCAGAGTACGAGAAGTCGAGGCTGAAAGAAAACTGGCGTTGAAAAAGGTGGAGGAAGCGCGAACTCTCTGGTCGGAGAAACTCGCGACGTTGGAGGAAAGAGAAAGAAAACTCGGCGAAGCCAGAAAAATTCAAGAGGAGCAAAGAAACGCGATAGAACGGTTAAACGAGGAAAGTAGAGTGCTGCGGGAGACGAGGGAAAAGAAACCAATGGAAATGGAGGAATTGTGCCAGTGCGGCGACACGCAATGTAAGCAGAGACACCTCAGCAGAGTCTCCAGCGTGACGTCGGTCGAGTCCGGGGACATTAAATGCCTGGAGAAGCTGCAACGATTAGCGGAGGAGGAGGTGATAACGAAGCGGGAAATAGCCGAGTTGGAGCGCCGCGAGGAAGCTTACATGACAACGCTTCAGAAGGCCGACGAGCTGTGGTCGAAGATGGAGGGCGACGTGGTGAGCACGACGAACGGATTGCAGGAACAATTGGACATGAAAATTGCGGCAAATCAGCAACTCGCGAATCGCGTATGCGAACTGGAGGACACGCTCGAGAAATGTCGGACGAGGTTGGCCACGTGCACAGCGGAACTGGAGAAGTTTCTGAGTATCGAGAAAGTCGAAGCTACGATAGGTCGCGACGATGACGTTGCGAAAGTGGTAGATAAGAAAGTTGCGGTAAGGGCTAAAGTCGTGCATCGGCCAATCGGCCGGGTAGACGACATAGCCACGGTGAAGGACGACGAAGTTCTGGCGAAGGTCGAAGTTGCGGACGGGGAAGCGCTGGCGACAGTCGCCGTGACCGACGCCGACGTGGAAACTGCATTTGTCGGGGACGATAAGTTCGTCTCGGTCAGACCCGATTTGGCTGATCTCGCGGTCGATCGCCCGGTGGATCTCGTGCAAATCGAGGACGCAGAAAGCGTAGTTCGACCGGAAGACCTGGATCATGAACAACTGAAATTCAAAGAAGTTCAGAAATACTTGACAAAATTAGGCTCGCTGGAAGAGCTGTATAAAGACGACGGTGAGCCGTGCGCACCTGATTTTGTATGCAACGATGTGGTGACGTCGCCTACCGGTATGACGGACGAGGAACTGATTGCGCTGGGCGTGAAGCAACCTGCACCGACGAAGGAACGTGACAAAACCGTGAGTGACGAGGAAGAACGAAAGAGGCAATTTCAAAAGGAATTAGACACCGCTGACGCCGTTATTGATAAAAAAGAAAAGAGAGAAGATGAAATTCCTGGCGTCGAGATCGAGAAGAGAGTTGTTGAGAAGGTGGAAAAACGGGTCGCACCTGAAATTATGGTAGATGTATCTGTTAGAGAAACTGTAACGCCACGGACAATCAAAGAAGAAGCTGCGGATGATAGGTTGGTAACGATGCCGAAAACCCGTGCGCCGGAAATCGAGGCCGACCGGGACGTCGTGATACAACGGGATACGGTTCTATCGTGGATTGATGCGATCGATACGATTCGTACGACAGCAGCGGTATACAATTCGTATTACAATTTAAAATATTAAAAGAAATATTGCAATTATATAAATATATAGAAACTGCATTAATATTTCAGCTAATATTTGTGATATTAGCTAGAAAAAGTTTAATGTAATATTACGTAGTGCGATAAATGCGAATATTTCTTTTTTTCTTAATATTATTATAACTCTGTTCCATATGTTCCTGAAATGCAGAAACATCCTGAGTGTCGCGAAGTGGAAAAAGATGCTGACATCTTAGCAGAACAAGTTGGCACATATGTCGGGGTAAGAGATCAGATATAACGTTATACTTTTCGTTATTCATGAGTAATGATTATAGTAGTAATGCAAATAGCATTTTCTTCAATTCTCACTATTCAATAATTAAGGGTCACTATTTAATAATTTGACTAAAAAAATAAGAATGCTATTAGTTTAATTAATATCTTCGTAATTTCTTCAGATTAAAATCTTTATATCCTATTATTATATCCTTTAATTATATTCTATTAGATAAAACCTAAAGAAGTAAAAGAGAAAAATGCAACAATCATCACAGAAGGTAAGCAGGAGGTGATTGAGAAGAACGAAACCAAAACAACACAAAAATAAAAATAAAACCGTAATAAAATCATAGGTGAAACTAAGTTACAAGACGAATTAATAATTTTGAGGAATTTTAGCTAAAAAAATGGAACCTGAGACAAAAATTGAATTCGCACCATTTCCTGATTCTGAAGAAACACGGGCAGAAATAAAAGCTCCAACGGAAGCAATAGCTGAATCAGAATTACTGCCTACTCTTACAAAAGAGGAAGTACCAATTGGCATGGAACCCCCTACGGCGGTTTCAATGGACGATTCTTTTCAGCCTCCTACAATTCATGATAAAAAAGATTTGAAAGACGACACGATCCCGTTAGCTGTACTCGAGCCGCATAAACCGGATATCGAAAAAATAAAAACGGAAGAAACACGAGTCGACGAAATCGTACGAAATGCAAAAGAAATTGAAGTACCTAAAAATAAAAATGCAGAGAAAGACGTAGCAGTCGAAGATCTGATAAATAATAAATTAACGGTAATTTTAGAGGAAAATGATAAAACGGTAAATTCTATAGATAAAAAAGAAATATTGGTTGTTCCAAAAATAGAAATGAAAGAACAAGAAATCATATTTAATCATATAGAAAGAGATGAAAAAAAAGAAAAAGATATGCTAACAGAAACAATAGTAGAAGATGAAAAAGTAGATAAAGTCTTACCAGTGACAGAAATTGAGGAAAGAGAATTTGTAGAACAAATCGTAGGAAAGTCGAAAGAAATTTCACAACAGGATGAAACTAAAATGGCAGACATAAAAGAAATGATACCACATATGGAAATCATAAGAACGAATGAAATTGCAGAAGTTCCGGCGGTTGCAGAAATGGAAGAGGTAGAACAAGATGCAGAGAAAACGACACTAGCAGTGGATATGGAAGAAATAAAGCAAATTATACCAGAGACAATTTTACCAACCGTGGACATAACCGAGGTAGAAAAATTTGAACCTGAGAAATTTCCCATCGTGGATATCGAAAAAGCACCGAATGCAGTAGAAGAAAAAATTAAAATTGAAGAGCCTACACCTATTTTGGATGTAAAAGAGGAACCACTGCTCCTGGACGCGGTAATGGAAAAAAAAGTTGAAATCGAAAAACCTGTACTAATAAAAGAAGAGATTGAAGTCGCAGAATTGTTACCGGTTGCGAAAATGGCGGAAAGAGAAGAAATTGTAATCGCAGAATTGCCACCAATCGAGGATGTAGAAAAAAAAGAAAAATTGAAGCCATAGAGTTGCCACCGATTTCAGATACAGTAAGAGAAGAAAAAATTGAAGCAGTAGAATCAATACCACTTGCGGATGCAGTAACAGAAGAAAAGATTGAAATAATTGAAGTCGCAGAATTGCTACCGGTTGCGAAAATAGCGGAAAGAGAAGAAATTGTAATCGCAGAATTGCCACCAATCGAGGATGTAGAAAAAAAAGAAAAAATTGAAGCCATAGAGTTGCCACCGATTTTAGATACAGTAAGAGAAGAAAAAATTGAAGCAGTAGAATCAATACCACTTACGGATGCAGTAACAGAAGAAAAGATTGAAATAATTCAGCCCATACCACCATTAACAATAAAAAGAGAAATGGAGAAGGAGGAGG